TTGTAATTCCACAGTGCCCTATTTTTCATGACTGCTGCATTCCTGTTACCTTTAGTCGTCACGTATATTTCGTGTTCCCTCAGATACTCGGTCCCATTGCTTATCCATACGCCCAGATATTTGTATTTATCTGTTATCTCTAGCGTGACCTCCTGTATTCTAAGCTCACTACCTTCGTTGTCATTGAAAATCATGACTGCTGATTTTTTCTTACTGAATCTAAAATCTAACCTATCTCCCTCATTACCGCAGATGTCCATCAATCTCTGCAAATCTTCCTTGTTGTTGGCCATTAGCACTATATCATCTGCGTACATTAATGCTGGTAGTGCCTGATCAATAAGTTTTCCTTGTTTGACTAAAGAGAGGTTGAAGCCCAGTCCACTTCCCTCTAATTTTGCCTCTAATCCTTGTAGGTACATCATGAATAATAAGGGTGACAGGGGGCACCCCTGCCTAAGCCCCCGTTTTACCTCTGCAGGCTTGGATACCTGTTTTTCCCACTTTATAACTACCTTGTTACCTTTATAGATACCCTTTAAAAGATTAGCGACTACATGTTCCACGCCTAGTGTGTCCAGTATTCCCCACAATTCCTCTTGAACCACGCTATCTTACGCTCCCTTGATATCCAAAAATGCTAGCCACAGGGGCCTGTGTTCCTTTACTGCTATTTCACTGCACTGCGTCAGTGAGAACAGATTGTCTTCCAACCTCCTGTGTTTCCGAAACCCATTCTCGGGCTTGGAACGGTTGTTGATCTGATGAAAGCTTGAACGATCCCTTCATTTCCCTGAAGTCAGCTGAATGCGCTTCCCGAAAGCATTTGAACGAGTCAAACTAAACCGAACGAAAGCGAGTGTGTAGGCCAGCAGTGGCTCAAAATATTTACAGTGAAACGAAACAGAGCAGGACCCATTCGAATGCACCGCGAGCTGTTACTAGTGGTCGCTACCGTTGGACGCCGTATATTTTGATATGAGGGTAATGATGTCGATAGGCTGCTGAGAATTACGAGTCAGCTGGAGCAAAAGCTATTACAAATGGATGATGTCGCAGTACGTAACTAAACAGAACTTCTTAATAATAAGAGTAACTAGTTTTTAGGTGTAGACTTACGCAACCATGTAGTAGTCGATTATTTTAGAATTGTAGTTTGCCTCTGATAAGAGTGCCCCTACAAGATAGTGCCAAGGTGTATGTAAACTGGTTGCGCAAATTTCATAGAAGCCCATGGATCCAGTAATCCTCAGCTCGTTGCCACCGTCACTATATACGCGAGGAGGGGACAAATAACATCAAACAAAAATTGAAAAAAAAAACAGAAAAGTAAACATGACATCACAACCAGAAACGGTAGCGACATGGCGCCTTTGCCCCACATGGCGCGATATTGAAATTTTTTCAACACCTGACCGTTTACGTGGCGTTAATATTACGCGATTTTATTGCGCCCTAATTGTGTCTCGCTAATGGCAAGCGACAGAGAAAAAAAATCACAGCATATCCACGGAATGAGTGATGATAAGTGGGGTAAAGCGGCCTTCAGCTTGTCCGTCCATTAGTTCTTGCTTCAGTCGACCCGTCCGCATGACCATCCGTGTGTCCGTCCCTCTGTCCGTGTGTCTGTCCATCCGTCCATCGATCCGTACGCCCATCCCTCTCTCCATCCATCCGCCCGTCCGCGCGTCAATTCATCCATCATTCGCCCACTCCAGAACGGGTATGTGCCAAGCGATCACGCCGACGGACAGGGGACATTGCTCGACCCTAAGGAGCTTCGACCCTAAGAACCAGAGATTGAGGAAGCAAAGTTGTTTTATTAGCCAAGTGACGTACTTAAAATATCAACAAAAAACTTCGCAGAGGCGATTGTGAGACAACTGTTCACGAGCACAATAGCATAACAGTTCAAAACTGACGTTTCTCAATCGTCAGAAAGCAGTGCAGCGAAACAGCAGCTTTGAAAATATAACTGTGACAGCCGTAGAGTACAGTTTCTCGTTGATTAGCGTGTCGAGTTCACCGTCACCAGAGGCGAGGGTGCGCCGGCAGTGCGCCAGCAAAAGCAGCCGTAGGAGTGGCTCTCGACACATTCTAGTTGAGCTCTGAAATGCCACACTAGTAAACAACAGATAAAAATAAGCAAACTACTGAGAATACAAATGAAACCACCACGGCGAAGTGAGCAATGCATCGTTGAATGGGCAATGTGCCGAACCAAAAAACACGCCAAACACACGCCCCCTTGCTATGGTGGCCAGAAGGAGAGGTGTCAGAATCGGCGCAACGGAGAGAGCGCGAGAATTGATCCGGATGCGGCGGCGCTGCGGTCGTTTTCGAGATACCCCTCCTTGCAGGTATCAGTCGTTTTTCGTTGCAAATATTGCACGCTACCCTGCGGATTGTAACAAAGTATACCTGTCACAATGCTGGCGGCGCGCTGCAAAGCGTGTAGTGGCACTGAAAACTAGTGTTTTCAATTCACTTCGTAGTATATCAGCTACGAAGCTTAGAAGATAGAGAATCAAGTGACTTGCCGTGCGCTAGACCCTAAAAGAAAGTCTGTGCAGTTTTCAAATTTGATGCCGCAGTGTTCTCTGTGAAGTCTTAACGCACGTATAGGTATCGGCAACCTATATTTTTATGACTCGCGCAATCAAGGTCTAATTTCACAAGCAAGACATTTATTTTCTCGGAAGCGAAAAACAACACGAAGAGAAACACAACATGTATGCATTAAGGTGAAGAAAACTGCAAATTGTATGAAACTCAGCGAAAGCAAGTGAATAAGAAACTAAAGAGAACAGTAAATATACGATGATACAATGGGCATACATACACACTTGACATCAAGATTCATCGGCAAACATAGATACAGTCACAAACCAGCTCACGAAAAAATTGATTTCTGCATATGTGAACACAGCCGAGACAGTGATATCACAGCTGTTTATGGGGGATTTATAACAATTTGAACAAGACAATAGTAAAATCTCAAGAAAAAACAGAGTGTGAGTAATGCACAATAACATAAAATAAAACCTTGTTCAGCTGAGTTAATACTGTGACAGGTAAGTCAGATATCTGAACTTCAAGAACTTCATTTTTTCTCTCTCTTTTTTTTCATTGGACGCATTTTCTCCAGCAAGAGAAAATGCATTCTGGTTAGTGTAAAGAATCTAATTATCTGATATGTCACTTTTGGGGTGTTCACAGGCGACCATATTTAACCTCTTCACAACAGGCAAGAGATAAGGTCTGTTATGCTGTCACTTTTCAACTTGTTGAAACAGAAGCAATAGGTGAGTGCATCTTCCATAGCTTTCACCAGGTCTGCTAAGGACTCGGACGGGTACAGAAAGCATGATTCGGCCGGAAGCAAGCTGGAATTCTGAGTGAAGCAGTAACCTGCTACATTCGTTGCACTTCGTCTTTTTCACTATCTTCCGGTCCACATAGCAGCTGACGTAATAAGTGATCCGAGAGTCCCTTTTGCGTCTAATGAGATCAGTGTAGTCAGGGAGGGCTTCACAAGCAACAATAATTTCGTGAACATGATTGAGGCGCTTCACATCTAGCATCTCATTCAGCTTATTCTGCAATTTTATTGAATTATTGAGGATGCCCGGACATAGAAGACTGCTCGGAACTCCAGAAGGTATGTTTCCACTGGGGGTGACTCTGCCAAACTGTAAAAACTGAGGCAAGTCACAGAGATCAAAAATTGTGTCGGCGAAGGGTGATCATTCGAACCAGACATCTGCTTCAGCATTCCGAAAAGATTTCAAGTGCGTCTTAGCAGAGGCGAGACGTCAATCAAGTATATATAGCCCAAGGTTTTCATGAAATAGTGCCGAATGTAAAGGGTGCCGGTTAGAGTGACGCGGAGTCCTTCGGCAGTTGATTCACTCAGGAACCCACCCTCCTTAGATACAGCCTTTTCTCAAGTTGTTAAGAACCCGTTCATAACATGCTTGTAGCTATGGCCGATGAATCTTTCGTTGAATGAGCTTCGTACACAACGCAGTTCTTTTCCAGTTGTTTGTCAGCGCGAGGAATTGTACACTTTCAGGCCTTGTTCTGTTCATTGTCCGCGGGACCAGAAAAGAGAAATGCTTTGTTCTCTTGTTTGCAAGCCGAAGCATATCCTGCATTGTATTCAGGTGCAAAGCAGTGTATTTGCTGTTTACTCTTCACTGTTGCATGGTCACATTGGCACGTATTGATCCCGAACAAGTCCAAATGGGCAAAGCGAAGACGTTGCGACTTGTGAGCACACGAGCAAGCGACTAAAAGTGCCGGCTAGCAAGCTCTCTCGACCGATCATGGTGGCGACTTGCGCGCCACTCCACGGCGAGATGAAATACTAGCACGCCTCTTTTAGCAAAACCGTCGGCCCATGTTACCAGACTGCCTGGATGTGCCCGCTGTTCCTGAAACTAAACGAACAAAATTTAGCGCTCAACCACATCCCAAAGAATAAAGTTTTATGAAAGTAATCTACTCACTTTTTGTAACAATAAAGCTAGATATACTGAAAACAAACGTTTCATTATTTTTTGTTTCTATATTTTCCCTCTCCTCACCTAGTCGCGCTTCAATCGTCATGCGGTTATTGATGTTTGTCGCAATACGTTTCAGACCACTGTTCGTTGCGAGTTTTGCGACCTATTTGTATTGACCTTAAAAATGAAATCTCACGAATGGCCGCGAGCATTAATTTTAACGCAAAGGTCAGTAGATTCACATCGGGTATTTGAAGCAGAAACGCACCGCTGCTGATTTTTTTCACCCTCTATGGCTGTTGACGGCACCTGACAAGGCCGCCGCCCATTATATGCACATCCGATAGCTATTATCACGTCTTGGCCGTCAGAATAGCCTCGACCAATCCCGTGTGAGCCACTCTCGTTCTTTTTTGTTTCATCCTTCCCCTGTTCTATCAAGATAGAGCGCTTGCAAAATATCCCCACTGAAAAGACTGTTGGACCCTTATCGGGGACTTTAGGACGCTGATAAATGTCGCGCTCCTTAGCATCTTTGCTTCCAAGCTGTGTTTGATTTTTGCACTTATCAGGAGCGATTTACCTCGATTATTGCTTCGGATGGTGGTGCGTCAGAGTGGCCAGATTACCTGGTATAGATCTAGAAGCATTTGCTTCAGCGGTCGGTGAACGCTTAGAGGGTGTTGTCAGGGCCACGACGCTTTTAACGGCGAGACCGAGACTATTTCCGTGAACGGTAAGCCTATGCTGCTTTATTCATGCGATCCTCTTCGATGGTTGCGTTTTCGTACCTGACATCGATATTGTATAGAAATAAATGCTTGACCTTGCAGCTGCCTCATGTACCTCCGGATTTTCACGTTTCATTATGTTCTAGTGTATCTTTTCTGCACATAAGCCAATTGATTGATTGATATGTGGGGTTTAACGTCCCAAAACCACCATATGATTATGAGAGACGCCGTAGTGGAGGGCTCCGGAAATTTCGACCACCTGGGGTTCTTAAACGTGCACCCAAATCTGAGCACACGGGCCTACACACATAGCGAAGAATAATATTTACCAGTTACTTTATTTTCTCGATATTGTCGCGATGCCGCTTTACCTCTCTGGTAATCAAACCATGTAGTGTATAGGGGTCGATGTTCGTAATAATTAAATATAAATGTAAGGAAAGGAAGTGGACGAAGAGACAGCTTGTCGCGAGAGTTGGCATCAGCTCTCGGTTGAATTCTAAACCACACAGTCTGAAACAGTGGTTGGGCCACGAACAGGAACTGTTGAAGATGTTCACTGTTGCTCTTCTTAGCTTAATTATTTGCAGGTTTCTTTTGGTAACTTCTTTAGTTGTCTGGAGCCATTTATATTGCTTATTACCATTGAAGTGAGCGCCGCGAAGAACACCGCCAGAGCTGAATTGGTTGATCATCGGATGCGTTATTGGAACGCTGCAGATTCGGCCCTACGACGGTAAATATTCTTTTGGAGTAATGCAATTTTTTTCATTTATATCACAGCTATTACAAATAAGATCCCATGCTTTCTCCTCGGCTTGACTGTCTTTTAGTTATCAGTATTGATGTGCATAAAGAAAACGGACGAGCCATTCTTGCGTTCATTCATGGAAAACGAACAACGACAAAGCAATGGCAACCGAGCGAATGCGGCCAAATATTTCACCCGATAATTTGCCAGTGCAAATGTAAAGTGGCATTTCGGTCCATAATTTGGATGCTATTGTCATTCTTAGCACTGTATGCTTCAAGTTTTGGTGAAAAAAGGACCTAGTGAAAAAATGTCGAAACCATCTAACACCTAATCAATGGCTGGTAATCAGTTGCACTTGCAGTATTTCGAAGTCTAGAGTCCGATGAAAATCCGTCTCGTCGTGATAATTCGTGGCGGAAATAACAAACGGTGAGCAATCGACGTTTTTGTTTCCCAAACGAGATTTTTGTTTGAACCATTGGTCGGCGCCTGTTGTTCTCGCCACTTATACTAATTATCTGATTTGACCGCCTTTAATTTTCGCAGGATAACGTTCACTATGGTTGAACAAAGTTGTGTCTTAAATTCGATTACATAGAAGTAGTTACATTATAACTAGGAGTATATAAAACGATATTGTATTTGACGCTAACGAAAAGTTGTAGTGCCTCTAAATGGTTACACAACACAGTAGATTCATGAACGCAAGGTATGTCCACAAGAAAGACAAACGCTCCGTGTTCGTTTCCTTACGTTTATTTATTTGTTTATTTGAAATAGCCTCAAGATATATGCAGTACGTTATAGGAGGGGGGGGGAGCAAGCACACAATTATATCAAACACGGAACAGAGTATGCAGAGCGAAGAAAAAAATGCATCACAATCAACCAATTTGAGTACAGTATATTGCACATGTAAAGGTAAAAAGTAAAGAATAACACAGATATAAAGACTGCCAATACAAAATATACCACTCAGTTTAGTAAATCAGGTGTGAACCTAATAACAAAAAAGTACAAGGGCACAAGCTCAGAGCGCCAAACAAGAAGAGTAAAAAAAAGACAAAGTTATAGAATTTAACAATTGTAGATTATGTTAACAAGAGCATGTTTGAAAAGAGTATGATCGCGTATGTTCACTACAGATGATGGTAGACTATTCTAATGAATTCAGCTTTCGGAAACAAATGACAGTGTTGGAAATGGGAGATCGCCTGGTGGCTGCGTCGTTGCTACCGCATTCGCTATATCGCTATGGTTTCGCTTTGCCGTTGTTATCTCATGACAATGTCCTTGTGCAGACATTCGTGTTCATAGTGAAAGTTTGTTGCATCACTCAAGGGTGCGGGAAGCAGACTTCTCTAAACGCAACTCCTCAGGCTACATAAGCGCTTGCAAGTTTTGCAGGAACCGCTACGAAGACCCGAGTAACTGCAACTGCACTGTTTACTCATTTTTGACCGTAGCCTCGTGCACGCGATTCATCTTCATTCATAATTTCATAGGCCGCGGAAAGTATCAGATTACTTGAAAGATTAGGACCTTGGGTGCGTTGTCGCTTGTACGATCAGGGGGACGGAACTGAGAAGTTTGCTATGTATGTATGTATGTATGTATGTATGTATGTATGTATGTATGTATGTATGTATGTATGTATGTATGTATGTATGTATGTATGTATGTATGTATGTATGTATGTATGTATGTATGTATGTATGTATGCATGCATGCATGCATGCATGCATGCATGCATGTATGTATGTAGTATGTATGTATGTATGTATGTATGTAGTATGTATGCATGCACGCATGTATGTATGTATGTATGTATGTATGTATGTATGTATGTATGTATGTATGTATGTATGTATGTATGTATGTATGTATGTATGTATGTATGTATGTATGTATGATGTATGTATGTATGTATGTATGTATGTGTGTATGTGTGTATGTATGTATGTATGTATGTTGTATGTATGTATGTATGATGTATGTATGTATGTATGTATGTATGTATGTATGTATGTATGTATGTATGTATGTATGTATGTATGTATGTATGTATGTATGTATGTATGTATGTATGTATGTATGTATGTATGTATGTGTATGTATGTATGTATGTAGCTCCCGTAGCTATAGCCATTTTAGTAGCCTCCTTAATTTGGTATACACCAAAACTGGCACAGCATGATATGGATGTATAAGGGACATCGCTGAAATGGCATAACTCGAGGAACATGACTTGTCTGTCGAAAATCTTTTCTGCTCGACACGTTGGCACACATTCACATATCATGGTCAGTGGTATGCGGGTATTCATAACTACAAAAAACTTCATAGGAGTACTGAACGACAAGACTAAAAGAGGCAAGGGACATCTCAATTCAATCCGTTGGCTCCACCCATGTGGGCACCGAGAGATGACGACTCTCGGTGGCGACACAAGCTCTCTGGATGGCCTGGAGTTGCAGCGTGACGTCTGGACTTCGCAGTCGGTCATCCCCGCAGACGGCGTCATGTGGAGTGGAGCCCACGTTAAATGGGTGCAGCCAAAGCCTATGGTCTAAGGAATAGATATTGTGCCCGCATTTAAAGCAAGACTGTGGAAAATTGGAATTCGGCGAATTGAAGGTTCCGAAAAAAGCTAAGTACCGTGTCTGCAAAAGTGCCATTTTAGAAAGTTTTCAAATTACGCTAGCAGCTAGGCCTGATATTGAGGTGTTGGAGCAGGCTGCGCCAAACTTATGAACACCAAACTGTAGCAAAAACAGACTTTCGCAACCAGAATGATACTACGCGTGGGTAGCAAAAGAATCAATAAAAATATTTGCTTAATAATTTACGCCATCCAAATATGGCAGCCCTGCTTGAAAATTGAACCCGTGCCTTCAAGCATAGCTGCGTGACACTTCATTTGCTAAACTACCACAGGGGGAAAACAAGGGCTAGTTATGGCTAGTAATTTTAGTGTGACAGACAAGCGTTCACAAAAGTGCCACCACTAATTTTTGCAAGCAACGACGAGGTGTAGATTGTAAGCAAATTCATTGCAGCAACAGTTGTCTAACATCATATGCTTCGGTCGTACTTTTTTAACGTTAATTCTTGAACTTTAATTTTAATAACTTAAAGCTCATGCAGATGGTAAATAATCACGTTAGAAAGACTGGAGGTACAAACACGGACGCTAGTGAGAAGTCAAGACAAAGAAAAAAAGCACACTGGTGTAGAAGGTACACGCAACGCTTATCCGCACATGACCAAGCAAGAGGCGATACTTATCACTTGTACACACGTGAGAGAAACTGTTCAGCTATTCCGTTTCTTCATTGTGAAAGTAGAGTAGTACAAGTTATCCACTGTTGGGTGCAAGCGTGCGTTACGACTATTATCGAAATGCCACGCCTGAATCATCAGACGTGTTTCTCCGTTGCTGCGCTGGTGCAAAATGGCTAACAATCTCTAGTTAATATGGTTACTATAACAACTCGTTGGTTCTGCACAGAAATGGCCACAGCTAAACGAAATCTTATACTCCTTATGCAAAATCGCTGCCATCTGTCGACCATCGTGTGCATACTGCCACGTTAGAGGCTCAGCGGGGCGCAATACGCAAAGTCCGCACGTGTTTACGTATGCGTGTACGTAAGTCACATCGACATGTATTGGCTGATAATCGCAATGACGATGTATTAGTTCGCTCCTAGCTGCACACAGAGAGGAACTCATAATTCCGACAGAAAAAAAAAGGTAAGCAGTAAACTTTGTCTCTTTCTTTTTTTTGAAACTGACAAAATATACAGCATGTGCTCTAGCTACTGCTACCAAAACACTTCTTTGCGCTTGCCTTTCTAAGCTAATAAGACTTGCAATAGCATTCAGTGGTTGTACTCGTGTAAATAGTTGCACGCCGCCCAAGCAAGGGAGTTCTGCAACGCCTTCGCTAGCAGCCACTGACCATGTGAAGGCGACTCGTACGATTCACGCAGAAGCCAGATTCACACAACCAGCTTTATCTCTGCTAACTGCGCGTGCCTGATTTTCAGTGAAAGTGCCGAGCAGATCCAATGCTTTAAAAAACGGGCGCATGCATACGCAAGTCATCCCACTAAACAGCAGATTGTCACATTTCAGAAAAGAGAACAAAACTACATGAAACAAAGATGCTTTAGCACCGTCGATCCTTTCTCAGAATGAACCGATGATGAGTACTTTCTTGTAATTCATTAAGTGCTGTTACCG